GTGCAGGGAGGAGGGGGCCGCGGAGTGGGAAGAGAAACGAGGGGAGGGGAGGGAGGGGAGGGGGTACAAAGAGAAGGGAGGGGGCTGCGCGCTGCGCCCCTCCTCCCTCCGCCGCCCGGGGACCCGCGACCCTGCCGGCAGCCTGGCCTCTGTGGGGATCCTGGGCCGGACCCCCATTTCCCGGAGTTCGGGGAACCCATGCCTCTCCAGTCCTAGGTCTTACATTTAAAGACGTTGAGTTTTTTTTCGGCTTGCAGCAAAGCGAGCACCTACGTGTGCTAGTCCGGGCTTACCAACTCCATCCAGGAGGCCGATCTCATTGTGTGGTGTTCGAGGGCTCAGAGATCAGTCCGGTTTTAAGATGAAGGAAATTCTGTCACTTGGGACGATGTGGAATGAACCTGGAGGATGTTAAGCAAAGTAGGCACCAGACAAATACTTACGGATGTCATTTAAGGAGCATTTAAAAAGTCACACCAAAAGAGTAGAGCGGTGGTTACTGGGACTAGGGAAAAGGGACACTGGGGAAGCTAGTGATCAAATTTCAGTTAGGAGGAGCAAGCAAGCTCAAGAAAGCTACTGTGGACTGTGTGGTGGCTACTGTTATTAAGAGTGCACACCAAAAGCTGCTAAGAGAATAGATAATTTTGGAACAGGTTCTCCCTAATAGCGCAAGTTAGGCTCAAACTCCATAATCTCCCTCCTCCCCCTGCTTGATTTTGCCATCACACAGTGTATACATATATCAAAAAACGGTGCACTATAAGTATATATGTTTGATTTTCAGTTGAAATTTTAAAAGAATCTACTTTCTTCTTGGCTTCAGCTTTTCGTAGTACATGATCGCCCACTTACAGGGGAGACTGGAGATTTGGGTAACTTGCCTCCAGCCATACATTACAGGTGAGGCCCGGAATCAGGGCCATGGGAGATTTGGGTAACTTGCCTCCAGCCATACAATTACAGATGAGGCCCGGAATCAGGGCCATCATCTCTTCATTCCAGCACGTCCTCTTTTACGGTTGACCATGTGGTTTCTTTCCAAATGACTTGGAAAAGTGGGTCAAATGATAAAGGCCTTAGCAGTGTAGCTGCAGCCTGGGTCACAGGATCCACAAAGGGCTTTTGGAAGAGGTCCGCATGATTCTTAGTCTTGAGCAAGTTCACTGCCTGGAGGCTACAAGCCCAGTTTAGGCAGAACACCAACAGCCCATGAATATAGTACAACAGTGGGTTGGGCTTAAAGAGAACAGAAAATGGATTCAAGATAATTTTAGAAAATGAAATCCAGACTAGATGTGGAAGGTCAGAAAAAATTCGAAATTCGTGTCATAGATTTTTTTTATGGGCTCCAAATCTTTGCGTTTAAAATGGAGCATTGGTCTGTTTAATATTTCATATAACAAAGCCTAACAAAAATGACATATTTTTTAAATCCTAAATAAAATATCAACAAGTAGTATCCAACAATAAAAACCATGATGAATACAGGGATTATTTTAGTGATATAAATATACAATGGTAAGAGAGTTATTCTACAGAAATAGGTCAAAGAGATAGGAAAGTTTTGATTGGTTATTTAAAGTGGCAATGTTCAATAGTCTTTTGTTTTTGTTTTGTTTTTTTGTTTTTGTTTTTTTGAGTTAGGGTTTCTCTGTGTAATAGCCCTGGCTGTCCTTGAACTCACAGAGATCTACATGCCTCTGCCTTCCTAGTGCTGGGAATAAAGGCATGTGCCACCATGCCCAGCTCAATAGTCATTTTTGATCAAAGAAACCTTTAGTAAATGGCTACATGCAGTCAATAATAAACAGCTTAAGAGTTTATCTAATAAATATAGGGATAAAGTTGATGCTTATGCATAATTAATACTGTAATATAGTATGATAGTGATGGTTATGAGAACTGAAATTAGTGCAGATGTTTTAGGTCATATGATATACATGGCTCTTTTCAAAAAGTTTTTTGAGACAAAGTAGTTAAAACTAACCTTGAACTTTTGAGATTAATACTTCAACCCCCCCCCCCAAGCACTGGGATTGCAGGCACAGCCACAAGTGGTTCCTTTTTTTTTTTTTTTTTTTTTTTTTTTTTTTTTTTTTTTTCTTTTTGAGCATAGTATAGTCCTGGCTGTCCTGGTAGTCACTCTGTAGATCAGGCTGACCTCAAACTCAGAGATCAACCTGCCTCTACCTCCCAAGTGCTAGGATTAAAGTTTGTGCCATCACTGCCCAGCTTCCTTCCCAGTTTTTGATGAGTGAAATTCAAAGGTATTTGTGGATGTCTGTCCTAGAAGGTGGAGTTGTCATGGAGCTGGAGTAGCTTACTATCCATTCACAGGATAGCAGCTGTCTAGTGGTAGCCTCTGGAAGTTACCTTTTTGACTGTTCTATGTAAGGCTTGAGTACACTGGGTTGCTCTCATTGTTAATAAAAAGCTGAGTGGCCTAGGCTAGGCAGGATTTTCAGGGCAGAGAGGATGCTGGGAGGAAGGAGGGCAAAGACTCAGGAGTCACAGGAGATGCAGAGAAAAACAAGATGACCCATGCCATGTTGAAGAAGGTACTACCATGTGTTAGAGTGTAGATAAGAAATAGGGTTAATTTAAAATGTAAGCATTAGCTAGTAACAAACCTGAACTATCAGTCGAGCTTTTATAATTAATGATAAGTCTTAGTCTGGTTATTTGGGAGCAGCTGCTGGGACACACAGAAACTCTGACTACACTTGGGGGAAAAGAAAACACCCATACCCCTCCCAGAAAGTCAGGTGACATTTAATTTCTTCTTCATCTTTTCTTGTGCCTCAAACAGCAAGATGCCTAGGAGACAGTTCAGGAGCCTCAGTTCCTGGAGCAAATGCTGTTTGGATTTTGCACAAACTTGTGGTCAGTGGTGTGCTCTAAAGTGTCCTTTCCAAGTGTTGTAAAAGCAGGGACCAAGATTGAAGACAGGGTGCTAGGATAGGCATGAGCAGAGCAGGGTTCAAGGCAGGCAGGTCTTGGTTATGAGTATTATAGATGTTTATAGTACAGTATTGTAGCCTGATTTACACCAGCTTAACATCATAGCCTAGGACAAGCCCTCCACTGAAACAATGATCGATCATCTGCATGCTTTGCTTTGTATGTACTTTTGGAGACTTCGGACAAAAGCAGACCAGAAAAGCTGGGCTTTCCTGGATCCCCTAGGCAAACACTACCTGAATCATTCCCACTTTGTGGCTGACCTATCTGTACTTTGAAACCTTAAGGAAATGAACTGAAAAGCTTTCAGAAATATTGATAAAGTGATGTCCAGTTACAAAGGCAATAGTCAGTGAGGACAACCAAAACTACCCAGGGGCAAGGCAAAGTGAAGAGGCAGGCCCTCATTCTTAGGAAGTAGTCTATTCTAAAATTAACCCACAACCCTAATGGACTACTAGCAAAAAGCCTAGGATTGCTTGAATATTTTAAAAATGTAACCGAAAGCCCAGCATGCTAGAGGAAGACATTTCTGGAAGACAGTCTGCTCTCCGACTTAACAATCTCACCGTTAGAAATTTAGTATGAAAACATGTAGAAGGCTGGTCACAGCAGCAGCGTTTATAATTGGAGAACATGTTGTCTGTCCATTCAGGCTGCCATCACCAAATACCTTAGTGTGCATAATTTATAAACAGAAATGTATTGGTTACATTTCGGGGAGCCAGGAAGCCTAAAGTAAAGCCATGGGAAGACCTGGTGTCTGCTAAAGGTTTGCTTTCTGCTTGGGAGACAACACCTTGTTGTTTGTCTCCTCATTGTGGAAAGGCTAACACTACCCTGAAGTAGCTAAATGGGTGAGGGAGGTCCCTGGAGTCTAATCCCTTCCCCTATGACAGTAAGTACTTCTTAAAGGCCCACTCTGTAATTTTACCACATTGGATACCAGACTCTAACATATGAACAGGAAAGAACATTACCATTCACATAACAGCACTCAGGAAATGAATGACCTGTATATTTTATAACCCACTGTTTGGGGAAATTAAAGCATGGCAGAGTAAAAAGCTGCACTTTTTAAAATTAAGGAAAAAAACAAAAATATATTAACACAGAATAATTAAAATAAAAATAAAATTGGGATTCATTCAGCAGGCGGTACTTTGTGACCCACCTTGTTTTATTAGTACTTTCTTCTCACTACCGCCATGCTTATAGGAAGCATCTTATTTATCTACTGATATTTCAGAGAATGTCTCTAAAAGATAAAGAATCTTTAAAATTGCAACCAAATATTATCACACCCACAAAAACCACCACTAGTTTCATAGCCATGCAACACTTTTTTCAGAGTCTAAGTTCTCAAGTACTTAAAGGGTGCCACAATTCCCTGGCAGTTTGACTTGGGATTGGAATGAGGTCAGGCACAGAGACTGGGTTATAATCCTTACCTCTTCCTTTTAATCCATAAATTAATTCCCTCCCCTGACTCTTCGGTTTCATGCAACTTATTAATTGGAAAAGTCAAGTTACTTGCCCTAAGTAGATGTAGAGTCTTGATTGTATCTAGTTTTGCTTGGCTTTCTTTCTTTCTCTTTCTTTCTTTCTTTCTTTCTTCTTTCTTTCCTTCCTTCCTTTTTTCCTTCCTTCCTTCTTTTCTTTTCTTGGCAAGCTGATTTCTGAGGCAGAGTGACCCCTTCCATCAGTGCGTGTAAATAGGATTGCTTTTTTCTCTGACATTGGTCATTGTCCATGCAAGCAGTAGATGTTGGAAATGGTGGTGTTGTATTGTTTTTTGCTGACTTACAAGCTGGAACACTTTCATAGAGATGTTTTTCCCTGGTGACTCCCAATCAACACAGGAAAAGCAGAAGAAGCTTTTTACCAGTTTTAAAAATAATTTACCAGTTTTAAAAATAATGAATCAATCACTAACATTCTCCAAGCATCACCAGCCAGGCTTGTAGGTGTTTGGTATTACTGCAAATTCATAGACTTCATCCCTGGGTCTCCTTCAGAGATCCCTGGTTTTTGCTTAGATTCAGCTGATCACAGAGAAGAATCCATAGCTTCTGAGTTGATAGCCCCATTCTTACTCGGCAGTGTCTGAGGCAGGCATGTGACGAGTGCAGGCCATAGACCCATAGTACCAGGAAGTCCACAGGAGGCTTCTGAAGAGACACCTACCACCCACCGTGTGAGGAGCTACCATGGAAGG